CCTTATACCCGGCGTATAAGACGACCCCCCCCACTTTAACCACAGATTTTGCAGGTTAAAAAGTAGTCTTATACGCAGGAAAATAAGGTAGTATGCCCCCAAATACCTAATGAAATTACTAATAAGCAAACAACCCAGAGGGAGTATTAGCTCCAGTAGATGTGACCTCAGATTGAAATCAACAGAATAGCCAGAAAGAACCCCAGAGCTATCAATTAATTTGTCAATTCTGATAAGGATGATTCTGGCCTACAGATAAAGATCAAAACAAAATGAGCATATAGAACTTCCTTATAGTCATATGTTTCATCTATAAAGTTAGAAATTTCTAGATCTGGCACATACACAAGTTCCAAACATAGGTCAAAAATCAGAGGCGAAGGAGAGGGGACAATCTATTCTATTCTACTCTTTAGAAGAAAAAGATCAGAAATTATCCCATTTGTTTACCACTCTTGAGAGAGGTAAAAAATCTGACTGTATTTTACACTTTCTGCTGGAAAGCCTAATTATAAACATGAATCGCATTTTGTCAAATAGTTTATGAGCATCAAGTGAAATAATACTAGGTTTGGTTTTCTGTATTTAATGCAATCAGATTTATAATTAATCCTAAAGTATCAGCTCCCTGCCTGTGATGAATAAAAGCCATATGGGCTGGATTAATTAATGTTACTACATTTTGAAGCCTATTAGCCAATACTTCAGGTAACATAAGTATTTAATGTGTAGTTCACAGACCTCCAATATGATATTTTCCTGGTTTGTAAATAACAGGAATATACTTTGTTTATTAAAGCACCTGACTAAATATGTTTTTATATAAACAAATTTGTCTAGGAACCAGTATAGCTGAATACTTTTTATACCATTCAATAGATAGTTTATTGCTTAGTCCAAAGACCATTACAGACAAAACATCCAAGTTTTCATACAATTATGATTACAGAATCAACATTAAAACATTTAAATTAGAATTAACTAACTAAATAAAATACATACCCAAGCTTACGATACATGTCTTGCATTATATTCAATAGGAAAATGATCTGGCCCTGGAACTTTTCCATTTGTCATAAACTGCTTCTGCACTGCAGAAATAATCCAGTTTGACACCATTGTAACTGCCATGGCCCCATCCAGTGGAATAAAGGGATTTGTAGTTTGTTGTGGCACCATAGCTCTCTGACAAAGAAGGCTAAACGTGTCACAAAAATACTGTTCCCAGAATTCTATAGCACTGAGCCATGGCAGTTAGTGGAATCAAACTGGATTATTTCTGTATTGTGGATGCAGCCATAGATTTGGTTACTCTTAATCGCTTCCATTTGCAAGGGAGATTCTTTTATGCTGCACATCCATTTGTGGCATGGTTAAGGCTGATTTTTTTTAAAAAAAAAATCTTAGATTCATATCTGCAGGATCCTTAACTTTTGCATGCAATGTTGAATAAAAAAGGGAAATCCCAAATTAATAGTTTTCAGTGTAGTATAAAAGTTATTCTATGAACCTTTAATCACTGGAACAAGAGTATGTTTTTATTTAACCTGTATAATAAATTGTGGCTTGGGCTCTCCCCATGTTCTCAGTACCTTTGATGCAAACATGTTAATGCAATTTCTGCTTTAGATGACATTCAGTTAGTTGTTCAATTGCATGTTGCAATTTCTGATAAAGATAATGGAGAAGGATGGGTTTAGTAATGTCTTTACTGTATTTTCCAGCTCTTCCTTCTTTTGAATTCTAAGCTTTTTCCTGTGGGAAGCATATGTTATAATTTTTCCATTCATATAGGCTTTACATTCAATAGCACATGAAAAGATCGAACCTTCATTATTAATGAAATAAATTTTGAATTCAGAGACCTTCATTTTAAACTTTTCACCATAACTCAAGAGGGCTTGAGATAAGGAAAGCTTGTCAGATCATAATCTGAAACAGATCTTGTGATCATAAAACAGGGGTAGGCAACCTTTTTGAGCCATGGGCCGGGTTGCTGTCCCTCAGACAATTGGGGGGCCGAAGCACCAAAAATAAATAAATAAATAAATAAATAAGTAAATAAATAAATAAATAAATATATGCATGCACACTCTCTCAACCCCAGAAAAGCCATGGCAAAACCCCTGTGGAGATTTGCCAAGAAAACCCCAAGAACAAGTAATAATCAATATCATCATGGCGGGGAGCGGCAGCGGCAGGCGGTGGCGGCAGCAGTGGCAGGACCGGCCTGGGGCCGGCCCAAAGGCCTCAGAGGGCCACATCCGGCCCCCGGGCCTTAGGTTGCCTACCCCTGTCGTAAAAAAAAGATCACATACTGGAGTGTAGCAGACAGAAACATAAAGTAAACCAAGCAATTTTTTTAATATACACATGGAAAAAATGTTGTCTGTCTCTGTTGCATGTAAAATACAAAATATATTTACCCATTTTAACTGTAGCTCTTAATGGTAGCAAACCCCATAGAATTTAATTTGCAAGGGGCAGTATTCATATCTAAAATAGAATTGAAGGGTATTGGTAAAATAGTCTTAGTTATAATATAATCATAGATAATGGAAACCAGGTCACTTAAACATTTATGAAAGATAACAAGAGAATTCAAATTTGCTATATATAAATTTATCCCACCCACTCCATGCCCTAACTTTTTTTTTTAACCTTTTAACATATAATATTAGAAACAGCTATCTACGTCTACAGTACTTGTGTCAGAAAGGTTACACAATAGACTTTACTTGGAGGATGAGATTCTTGGCTTGTCCCATCATCACCTCAGCTCTGAAAGGGAAGTGTCACTAACTCTGTCTAATTGGGTGAAAAGGGGTTGTTCTCAGACCATATCTTCTCTTAAGGGTCATCATTTCTCTCCCTTTGTTTCAGGGTCATAAGGCTCTGTGTCCTACTCTCCTTGTCATACTCAGTCAGACCCCTTCATACTCAGTAATGTTTGAAATCCAGACAGTGCTCGCCTGTGTCATTCATGTCACAGATTTCATCCTGGCATGATGTAGACTGGTCCTCTAGGAATCCATTCCATTTTCAACCATTGCATTCTGTGCTGCCTTTCTACTCATGAGTGTACAATCTCCCATTCAATAGAGTTCCTTTTGGCCAGTGTTATGCTTCACAGGTATACCCTTGGCACACTTAGGAATCATGCAAGAGATTATCACAGGAGCTTCCCCACTCTTGCCCAATCCACACTTGGCAGGGAAACGGTATTCCTCCTTCTTCCACAATCTCATGCTCACCTGACAATGCTTTTGCCACCATAGGTATGTGGGATCCAGTTTCATCAGTTTTGATCTCTGTTGCATTCCATTCCACTTCATGAGTGTAATTGTTGGCAATTTTGGTGGAATGTACTTTGGTTCCAGTTGCACCATTGACCATACCCAAAGTAAACACTGCTGCACTTGCACCTGGTGGTCTTCTTCCTTCTTCTGCTTTGTCAGCGTCACATAGGCTTTTACCTCAGAATCATCTTATGCCTGCACCCCTCTATTGGATGAGTGTTTGGATCTGACCATGTTCCTTCCAGATCCACTGCATACATGGATCATGGTTCTGCAGTGAAGTCCTCCAGATCTGACAGTGGTGACTATGAGTTGTCCTCTTCTGTATCCTCTAGGTCAAAACAGTGGGGTGTAGAATTCCTTGGTTGCCCACAGAAGATAGTCAACCTTTCTCAGTGCAATTATTGTAAATGGTAACCACCCTTCATTGCAAAAATAACTCTACTTTGTTTCTGGTCTAGTATTTCAAGTGGTTCAGACTAAATCCCCACCACTGCTATTGATTCTAATGCTACCCTCTTTGTTGGGTGTGCTGCACAATCCTGGCTAAATCCTTCGTTGGTTCCACTAACAAGTAGCATTGCTGACATGGAGATCAGTTAGTTTGTTCCAATGAAAATGCTCAGTGCAGTAACTTTTGCTCCAGGACAAGAGTGTTGCCTGGGGGATGTTTTCCTTTACAATTGGGGAGAAAAGAGATTTTACACATTTCCCTCTTTGCCATTATTGGTGAGGGTAATGGTGAAGTTATAAAATGACCAAGCACACTGAAGTCTAATGGGCATTTGGTGGCCTTATCAGGTATAGTTTATGCCGCTCTTTGGGTGGCAGAAGGGTGCTGTTATCATCCCCTCCCCCTTCCACCAAGATCTACTGACACAATAACACAGATAAACATACTTCTGGATCTTCAAACTTTGCATGTGACAGCATGATTGATTTTCCCCCTCTAAAGTTTACTGGGAGGAGTCTTAGCATTTTTGAAATATCTAGGAAGCAGTCCATTAAGTCTTACCTATACAAATGGAAACTCCTCCCCCCCCTTTTTTTTTTTTTTTGGAATGGTATAGACATCCTTCTTTTAACATTCAGGTGGAGGATTTTCTTGAGTTCTTCACACATTTGGTGAAGAAAGATCTGGGCTGTTCATCTTTTAAGTCCACCTGACAGCAGTTGCTTCACAAACTTCTCTATCAGGCTGTTCTCAGTTTGTCTACCCACGAGTGAAGGTTTTTGTTAAAGATCACTCTAAGCTCTTTCTACCACTTTTTCCTTTAGCACCTGTGCAGAAACTACATGCTGTCTTGAAATCTGTGGCCAAAACATTTGCACCAATGTGACTTAAGTTTCCTCGTGCTTTTGGTGGCATCTGTCAGACAGGTGGATAAACTAGCAGCCTTTCTCTGTCTACCCCTTCCTGTTATTTTATACAGATTAAGGAAGTACTGTGCCCATGTGCCACTTTCCTACCCAAAATGTTATCACATTTTCAGTTGTTTCAGGACAGTGCATTGCATAACATTACACTTCCAGTACTTTTTCAGAATTCTGCATGCCAACCAAAGCAGCCTGGCACTCTCTGGATGTTTTACATAGATAGAATTAGAGGCCTTCAGTCAACTAACACTGTTCATATGCTATTGGGGACTAAATACCAGTATCTTCTCAGTATGTAGCAGTAACAATATGTATATGTTATGAGTTAGCGTGGTGTAGTGGTTTGCACATTGGATTATGACTCTGGAAACCATGGTTTGAATCCCAGCTCAGCCATGGAAACCCACTGGGTGACCTTGAGTAAGTCACACTCTCCCAGCTTTAGAGGATGGCAATGGCAAACCCCCTCTGAAGAAACTTGCCATGAAAACCCCATGATAGGGTTGCCTTAAGGTCACCATAAGTTGGAAATGACTTGGAGGCACACAACAAAAACAAAATGTGAATATGAAGCAATTAAAGAATTTATGTGGTACAGAAGTAAATTGATATGAGCAAGGAAGAAATGAATCATTGCTGATAAAAATTAAAGGAAGTCAAAACTCTTCTGCCTCATCTCATAATCAAGATCACAGCTTTACTGCAAAAGTAAACAAACCAAACTAAGATGTAGGAGAAAAGGGGAGTGAGGGCAGCCAAGTGATTTAAAACTTAATGAAGACCAAAAGGAAGCATCTGTTCTTCCTCATCATTTTTCATCATTTCTTCGCTGGTCAATGTTTGGCCCACTTTCAGAATGCAGTGGGCCCTTGGTATCTGCTGGAGTTTGGTTCCAGGACTCCCTGTGGATACCAAAATCCACAGATGCTTAAGTGTCCCATTAAATACAATGGCATAGTGAAATGGTGTCATTTAAATAAAATGGCAAAATCTAGTTTTGATTTCTGAAATTTATATCTTTTTTGAATATTTTCAAGCCCTGAATGGTTAAATCTGTGGATAAAGAATCCATGGATATACAGGGCCAACTGTATAACATCCAGCAATTGCCAGTGTTTTGAATAAATGAAGATGATTAAGCTGGCAAAGGCAGAAGTTTGTAGGAAGATGAGTGAAATACTCTAGATTCTTTTCCTTCAATAGTTTATGGGCTTTAGAAAAAATCACACCTCTTATCAGCAGTATCTTTAGGGGAATCAAAAATAGCATGATGTGTAGATTATTTTTGCTGGATTTTAACTCTGATTCATGCACAGTTTCAACACATCATAAATGAAGCCTTCAAAAGTTGGACAATAAATAGACAAGGTTGTAGTTTATCTGATGAGCAAGAGGAGAAAAACTGGAGTCTAGTAGCAATCTTCTATGAGGCTTAAGGACTTCCTCAGTAAACTTTCCATAAAGACAGCAACAGGGCAGCCTGCCTTGGCGTTGTTGTATATCCCTTGAATACACAGATTATAGTATTAAGATTGAATTTCCAAGATGGTCATCTAGCCTGCTGTTTCTCATTGGTATTTTGCAGTGGTAATATGTCTGCATCATTACTTATAGCAGAATCTTCCAATATGGTTCTCCATTCCAGCTTGAATAAAACTGTTACCATCAGATGTCTGGAGAGCAGCAACTGATGTCTTCATACTCTTTGTATCACTATCCACTGTTTTAAGAAGTACATACAGACCTTCTACCACTTCTGCTTCTTCCTGTTGCCATTGTTCTTCATACTCATCAGAAAGTAGGGGCTTTGGATTTTTCCAAGGCCAGAAAGTTCTCTTTTGTTACAAAAAAGAATTGTTTTTGTTGACATTAGGACTAATAAACAGTGGTCAGCTTAGTTACACAAAAAAATAAAACACCAAAATAAAAAAAAAATCAGTAATATTTGTGCGATTTCCAGTCTTGGCTGAAAGCACTGATTTTTTTTTTTAAAAAAACAACAGATTATCATTTAGCCTAATGCTTTCTTCCTTCAAATAAAGTTTGAAGTTATCACTCAAAAGTGCTTAAATGAATAAATATTTTCATGTGAAATAATTCATATGAAAGGAGAGGTTGCTGGCTCAAGTGAGTTGTATCTTCTGCATCTACAGGATTTTGACTTGTACACTAGTATGGAAGAAATACAGCAGGCATAGTCATCGACACATCACTATAATGCCTGAAGTTCAGTTAATTGTTGTTCTGTTCCAAATTTACAGCAGAAAAACAAGAGTTAAGTAGTGTTCAAAGTCTTTTATCTGGAAGTAGCCTCTATGGAGTATAGAAGCTGAACCATTAATTCTGAGCCAGTGGGGAAGGAGCTATCCATAAATGGGTTAACTCCTTTTGTCACGGAGATGAGGAAAGGGATCACTTTTAGAAAGGAGATCATTTTTAGAAAGTTTTTCCATTTGGATCCCTGGCTCTCAATTCTTTCTCCTTGCCTCACCCAAGGAAACGTATACTTTGCTCTGTCATCTTTCTCTTGGCTATTTCTTTTGATTTGCCTTTTTTCCTCTTCACTTCTTTTTTAAAAAGTGTCCCACCTCATTAGCCCTTCCCGTTGGTGTCTCCCCTTTTGCGTCTCCTCCGGAGCTGGCACTGCTGATTGGGTGGTTGAATTACCGGAAGGGGATATTAACCACTTGGAAGTAGAGATTAATTCTGTTTCTGACCTCAAAGATGCTAAGGCTACTAAACTCACTTTAGTAACTGTGTTGCAAATCTAGCTAGCACTGACGAACAGTCAGGGGGCCGTAGAAATACAAGGGGAGGTTGATTTAAATTCCCCTGCTGCCTCTTTTCAACAGGCAGAGCTTTCTACTTCTGAAGGATTCTCAGACAGAGTAAAGAGGGCAGCTGGAAAATCTAAGCAGGCCATCTTGAGTCCTGAGTAGAAACCAGCCATTTTGAGCAAGAAACCATATGTTTTCAGTGCCCTTTTCAGTTCCTATGTCTTTGCCTATGCCATTTTTTTTATCATGATTCATGGCTGAAGCAGCCTTCCTCCATGGTTGCTAGCGAGCTTAAAAGGCTGAGTTAGTTGCCTCTTCCCATGGCCACACTACAGCCAAACTAGAATTCCTTTTCCAATCCCCTCCATCTGCCTTACTGCCATTGGTCCTCCATTTCCTCCAAGGAAGCATGGAAGGGCTAGGGCTGACATTGAAACTGTTCATCCAGATCCAGAAGTAAATCCAGTTCATTTCTCAGATGAGGAATTAGGCTCCTCACTAAAAAGAGGAGCTTCTACTGTATATTCTCATCAGTCTTCCTCTAGAGATATTGATATAGTCTCCCTTCATTCAACTTCTCTCATGGACTTATCTGACAATGAAGAAGGGGATTGGTCAGAATCAGGTGAATAGAAGGACCTAACCAGAGAGAGACATTTTAATCAAAATGATTTTATTTCTTTTATATCTAAGGCTGTAGCAGCATTAGGATTACAGGACTCCCAACCTGATTCTTCTACCACTCTAATCACTAATCACTCCAGTAGTGGGACAGCTATGTTTTTAAAAACCAAAAGCTGCCTCGTGAGTTGTATCTTTTCCATTTGATTTCGATGATCTAATATGATCAATATGGAATGTAGTGCAGAAGCTACCATATATACTCATGTATAAGTCGAGAAATTTAGATCAAAAAATTGATGCAAAAAACCTGGGTCAACCTATACATGGGTCAGTATGGTAATTGACCTGAGCCTCTCCCTAGTCAGGGTGCCTCTGCAAGGGACAGCCCAGCTGGCGAGAGGCAGGGAAGGATGACCAATCTCCCTGTAACCTCTCCCCAGCCAGGCTCCCTCCCTGGAAGAAAGATCTGGGGAGAGACTGGGAAGGGTGACCACCCTGTATCCTGTCCCCAACCAGGCTGCCTCCTGATGACCCTCGACTTATTCACAGGTCATACCAATATCCATAATTTTGGCACCAAAAGTTGATCTCGATTTATACATGAGGTTAACAGTCGCCCCTCTTTTCACATGGACTTAAAGCTTGCGGTTTTGCATATCCACGGAGGGACGACCTCCATGAAAATCAATGGAGCATGCCCCTGTGGACACATCCCATTCAAGCCTATGGGGCTTGAATATTTCTGATTCTCCGTTTTTGCGTGGAGGGGGTCCAGAACAGATCCCCCGCAAAACAGGGCCAACTATATACGGTATGTACTGTACACTTTCTCCAAAGGCTGTGGATCTTTTCAAGCCTGCTCTTGTAGATGGTCCAATCTCTACATTTTGACCAATGCTTTAGACCCCAGAAAAGAAGATTCTGCCCTTAAAGACTAATGAAAAGAACTTCTCTTAAATGCTCCCATGAGGTCTCTGCTCGAGATATTCATGCATTTTCATTGTGTCCCTTATTGCTAGAGTGGCCATTTTGTGCGTCCAAGATATTTCTGATAACTAGGACCTAGCTGCAAAGTCCTTAGACAAGGCCTTATTTAGCCCACTCCATTGAGGTTGCAACTGTACCTAGGAGATCTGTTTGGCTAAGACTTTGGAATGTGGACACACAATCCAGATCTAACTTAGCCACATTCCCTTACTTGGGAACTTTTTTGGTAAGGAGGCCCTTAAGGACACTTTCATTAAAACTAGGGACAGGAAGAAGGCATGCCTTCTATGCCAAAGAAGGATATAAAAAGATAAGGTCAGCCTTTTTGTTACTTTTGCTGTTCTCTCACTCTTAGAGACTTCAGGTCTTTCAACCCTGCCTTGTCTAGGTTCCAGTTTCCTTTTCATTCCCAGGGAAGCCCAAAATGGTTTCCTTCCCAATAGACCCAGCTGTCTAGAAACAATCAACCTTGTGCCTGTAGTTTTCCCAGGATAGAAGGGAGACCTCATGCAAGCATGGGCCCTCTCTATGTCAAATAAGTGGGTATTGAGTTCAGTAAACAAAGGTTATGTTACAGAATTCTATCAAAAGCCAAAGCACTGCTTCCTCAGGTTCCCAGTTTCCAAAAACTTCTTGGAAGACTTTGCAATGCATTGAGCAATCACTCATCTGTTAGCTCTAAGGGCCAATACTGGTCCCTCCAAACAACAACTTCAAGGTCTATCCTGTTCATGGTGTCCAAGAAAGGGGGCAAAGTTCACCTGATTCTGGATCGGAAATTTGTGCACAAATTTATAAAATGCAGGTATTTCTGGATGAAAAGTCTTCAGATGATCCAGGAGCACATTTTTTCAGAGGGTCATCTCTTCTCAGTAGATGCTTATTTTCATGTCTTTATTCTTATTTCATGCATATACCTTTGTTCTTGTTACCTCAGTGCCCACTATCAGTTCAAAGCCCTCCCTTTCAGGCAGGCCTCAGCCCCTCCTGGTATTCACTAAGGTGATG